CGCCATTATTATCGTGAGAAGGGAAATGTTCGCGTTCGTTCGAGTCCCACGGAACCCGCGCCACGTTTCGTCGATCCGCGAAATTGATCGCTCGGCTGTCTCCCGCGACTACTTTTTCTCTCTTACTTGAATTTCGCATACGCGAGTCGTCCGCGTTTCCCTTGGAGAACGTCGTAAATCATACTACGACGCGAATTCGCGATAAACAGTCGTCGAAACTCGATTACGAAGTAGGCAACGAACGAGAACGAAGTCCCGTGCTCGTTCGCTTCGAGCAGCAGATAATAAACAGAATTGTCCTCGAATCTAATTAGAAACTCGAAACTCTTTCCGAAGCGCATTATGGAAAACGATGAATAGGAACGATACGTTAACGTGAATCAAGTTCTCCTCGGTCAGTCTACGTCATCGCCGTGGAATGCTCGGACAAGGCCTGAGTTTGTGACTTTGTGCCCACGACGACGGAGAGAAAAGAGAGTGGCTGGAGTAGCGGCGGCACGACGTCGCCTATTCGACATCAAAGCTTCGTAAATCATGCGCTCCGGTCAAAGTACGGAAGCGCCAAGTTTTCCAAACGGGAGATAGGTATATCTGCGTTATTCATATGCATCCGATACGATTCTGTAAATCTCCCCCTCAATTTCCGTTGTCCTCCGATATTACGTCGCTCTCACACTCCAGTTCGTTTCCAACGACCACTCACGACCTTTTCTCTTTCGTGCGAATCCCCGATCGACAAATTCAAATATGCTTCCATACAGAATACTTCGTCGAAGTACTCGTCTAATATGAATGTGAGCTTTTATGAAAAATGAAAATATTGTACGCAGAATTTTTCTGCTTCATCGATCACGTTAGATCGTGTAACATTTTTCAATGGAAATCTATCACCGTCTGATAAAGGAATTCGCTGCTGTTCATGCATAATAGATAGACCGAGAGGATGACGAGACGGTACAAGTTTTGTTTGCAAATTCGAGTTCAGTCTCCGTTCTATAGTTGGTACCGTGGCAATGAACCAGACCGTGTTTCATCCAGGCGAGAGTATCGCGCCAAGAATTTGAAATGATTTTGGCTCTGCAGGGTCGTCGACCCGTCCCTCTCCGGATAGACCTCGTGCCCGCGAAGAGATCGATCCACGAACCTGTTTACGGACCACGCCATGGCCCCGGAGGAATTGTATGGGTCCCATGAAACATTCGGAACCCTCCAACGCTACACCCTTTTGTCATTCTAAGAACGTCGATTCTACCTAAACGTATTTTATTACTTAAAAAGAACTGGAGAATTATGCGCAGAGCATAAATCACGACGGAACTTCTTTTTCATCCTCCCTTTTTCTAAGATGGAACGTTAACCGCCTTAACGGCGATAATAAATAACAGCGACGATTCTACGCGAGTCTATCGGACGAGACGCAATCTAGGATAGGCGAATTACAGAAAACCGCAGGAACTTCGGTTGAATAAGACTCGACGTTATTAGAGGCTTGCGATTACAAGAAAGATGATTGTGCCGTCGATTGGTGAATCAACTAACTCAAGGCCTTTATCGCTTGAATATTGAGAGTAGCCAAGCCACCTGGAACACGAGTTCGGTCTTGGACGTGATCTTGAATGGGACGGCAGCCGTCGCGTCGCGCCGCGCCGGTCGGGCGCAGACACGGAGCCAGACGCGGGCGCAAACGCGCGTGCACGCGTGATTAATCCGCTGCAATTGACAGGCCCTGCAGCGGTGAACCGAGTGATCGTTGAACGGGAAGATAATCCAGAATCAGGAGCAGCGCGCGACTCGTTTCCCGCGTCGCGTTCAACTTTTCTTCCCAGGCTGTCTCCGGCGCGATACAAATGAGCGGAGCAAGTTCCCCTTGAAACTGATTAAGCGAGGCTGTTACGACTTTTCGAACAGACTTTTTCAGCCCGGGACGAGTTATCGTCCCACGTTTCACAAGACACGTTTTCGTCCGACGTTATTTCAAGAAGTCCAAGTCATTGTTTTTATCACGTTCTCGAGATCGTTTAGTGACGCGAACTTTGTAGATCGCGTTTCGCTCGCTGCGTTTGTTTTTTTCACGAACAAAAAGATAAAAGCTTAATTAGATCATTTAGAGTGGCAGGAGGTAATACGGTCGGTAGTTGAGTCAAACCCGGCGAAGACGTTGACTCGTCGTGAAAAATTCGCGAACGGGATTCCAGCGCGCGGATGGAACGCAGGGGATGTAACGGATCATCGAGATTGGAAACGGTACTTTATTCTTGGCCTGGCTCGCTTAACAGCTCCTCGTGCATGTTAATGGCGTCGCACCGGCCACCGATCGGTGGTAGCCGGTGTCACTACGGTTCTTTGTCCTTGACGAATAGCGTCGCATCCTTTGGGATTAGAGACTGGTCCCGGGTCGTGGGAACCTGTTTGCCACGGAATCCCGGCAGAACTCGTTCACTATAAGCTCGGCTTCTACGGAACCTGTGACGTAACCGGCTTCTAGACGTGCAAGCCGACCTTGATTTCTCTTTTTCTCCTCGCGGAAGCCGTCCCGCCGTCAGAGCAACGGTTAAACGCGGCGCTCGCTTCCGGATTGAAGACCGAAGGAAATACGTCAAGTCTTCTGAGCTATTGTGTCCGGACGATCGAAACGAAATTAATCTTCCTCTAACTCTAAATCCTAGCAATGGATTAAATGAAGGAGGAAATATACGATACGACAGGTTACCACGCGGGTTAACGTTAGCACCGCTCGAAGAGAAAACGAAGCGATTGATCAAGCGAGCGACGAAAAAGCTAGGAAAGAATGGGAACTTAATCAACGCTCGCTTGGCTCGTTTGTCGTCGACCCATTGCGCAACCAGGAAACGCGAGCCTCTGACACTTTCATTTAACGAACGAATAAATCTATTCGCCGGTTAATATTCCGCAGTCTCGCTCAGTGGATCCGGTCGTTCAACAGAAATTTCAATTTCTATCATCGTCCTATTATCTACTTAAACGGTTCGCACTATCTTCCGTTTCGTTCTACAACGATTTCATTCGAGCGGGGGACCCTTTTTGGAGGACGTCTCTTCGACAGATGAACCGTCACGATTGCCAGTGTCGACTCGTACACCTCCATTCATAAGTCTCAAGACACGGGAAGCGTATCACAGAATGTTATAGGTGCATGAATACAAATTTGTGATATTTTACATACGATTTTAAGGAAATTATTCATTTATTACCTGATTTATATGTAAAATTGCATAAATGGAAATTTGTGATGTTCTACGTACGATTTTATTAAAACTATTCATGATTTATTATCTGATTTATATATAGAAGTGCATAAATGAGAATTTCTGATGAGAATTTAATGAAATTATTCATGATTTATTATTGGATCTGTTCTATGATTTATCGTATCATTAGCTGGATGATTTGTCATACGATCTATTCTGTCGTTTTTTAAGTGAAATAATTTCTGATAGAATACTTGTCAGATTCTTTGATAGATACTTCGAAGTGTCCTAAGATTTATGAACGGAGGTATAGGTATCGCTGGTTAATGTCGAGGGTCGGTCAATGGGATACGTAGCCGCGGCTGGATAAAAGTGGTACCGGAAGCGGGGGGCAATTATTCAGTCGAGCGATCAGCTCGGGTCAATTGTCCCGATTGCGTTCACGTTCACGGTGGCCGCTGTCGACAGGAAAGCATACTCTCGCTCGGATTAGTCTCGTCGATGCCCATGCTCCGTTTACAACTAATGCGACTCCTATCGCGCCAGTAGGAAGCAAACACAGTTATCTAAGAAATGCCACCTTGCTCTCATTGACGCTTATCAAACAATTTATCTGCCTCGAAGCGGCTTCTGCGCTTCTCTCGTAGTCTCCCGCAGGGAAAGACGAAGTGGCGAGAAAAGTTTCCGGGACGAAGGTTCGTTGGACAGAATAAAAATCGGATCTCAACCTGGAGAGATCCCGTGAATGTAAAACCGATTCTTTCGGACTGAACAAATTCCAAGCCGCGACTATCGCTTTGAAAAATTTTCATGAACGAATACGAACTTGCCTTTCACTGAAAATGTAAATTGTCCTTACCGCGGAACTTCCCGACGCCGTATTATGGAGATCCAAGGACTTTCGGTATTAACAAAGTCCGAGTTATGATTTTTATTCGCAGGAAATTGCGAGACACCGTTCATTACGGAACTTGTGACATTTGAGCCCGATGGTGGTCGGGTGATATTTTAAACGAACGACGTTCCAGTGGAAAAACGAGAGCGCCGTGAAAAATGAGCGGACCACGAGAGGGAGGGGGGCAGTGAGGGTTGTTAACGAGAACGGAGGCTGTATCTTTTGTGAAACGAGGCATCGCGTGTAAGAAGCTCGTGGAATATTCAGGATTAAAGTCGCTCCGGACGCGCGTCCCGGCCAGGACCGGATAATTTATTTATTCAACTCGTTCTCTGATCAAAGTTTGTTACAACGGAGTTGCGTTAACAATAAAGCATAGTTGCGTCGGCCAATTTATAACCAGCGTTCTTCATTAAACTTTCCCAGGTACCACCGGGTCGTAGCATTTTTCAACTGCGAAGCAAAGAGAGTGCGACGCTGTTAATTATTTTCTTATCCTGACCGGCGCGACGCATTTTCGACTTGGTCGCGAACGAAATTTACCGGCTTCGCCCGCACTTCTACCTAGTGTCGTTTAAATATAATCGAATCTCCAACTTCAACCGTCTAAACTACTTTAATTATCCGTCTCATTGTATTAAAGCTAAAGCGCAGTCATTCGTTCCCACGCGAGCGCAAAAGTTCGTTCGCTAATTAAAGCGTACGGGGCACGTTCGGTCGGGTACCTCTGATCTTAAACCGTGCCGGGGTTAGCACCCGGTGACACCCTGTATATTCGGAGTAACGTTCCTCCTGGGGATTGTGCGCCATGGACGAGGAACGGTTCGGATAGGACAGAACGCGGCGCTCCGTAGCCAAGAATCGTACTATTACTATTTCACTCGTTTCCTTTACAGAATGATGATGTAACGGGACTTTCGCTGTCGCTGCAGTGAACGCAACGATGTCCACGCAATGCAACCGTTTCGTGCAGAACGCATGGAAGAAGGAGCTATGTTCGAACTGCTTCAAGCCGCGGGAGGAGCACGCCTTGCCGGACGAGTCGTTCAGGTTGAACATAGGCAGGGCCCTGAATTACGTCAAGACTGATAATCTTAAGATACAGGTAACAGGATTTACATTTTTTATGCCCATGTAACGAGCGTCCCGCTATCACATTTACTGCGACCAATGCTCAATTTCAAGGTACACGGGCTTAAAATATTATCGCGGGTATTAAAAGATTCAATACTGGTTGTGAATTACTAATTTAGTTACACATTAAACGGTCCGTTAAGCACATACCAAACGGCATTGCTAATGTGCACGACCGGAAACGTTTGAAGCGGTTGCTCTAGCGGGAATCATGGGATTAAAATTGTGACACGAAGATACGAGATGAAATTGAAAAATGTATAAATTTAACCCTTTCGCTACGGACACCGACTATAGTCGGCGGCCGCGCGACGTGCTGTGTGTACGGGTGCCGACTATAATCGGCGTCCGAATATTTTTTGTAAGGCACAAAACTATAATAAAAAACAAGGATTATAATATAAAGTATCTAAAAAAAAAAATAATAAAAAAAAATATAAAGTGATCCCGCGGAACGGACTGCCGTAGCGAAAGGGTTAAAGTGTCGTAACAAATTAGTTTTGCTCTCCGATATATTCGAAAGTTTTTGTGAATCGATTCGCTCTCATCGGTATTCGAGAGCGTCTTTATTACCTCGTCATGTATAATTTTGCTACGCTAATGCAAGCGGCTAGCGTAGCGCGAGGCGACTACTGCCCATCTATGTATTAGCTACTTAAATCTAGGGAAAACGGGCCGTCAGCAGAACTCTGCTTAGTATNGGGTTAATCATCTTCTTATCGCCGTGAAGATATAGTTTAAGGAGAAATAGTCACGAAGTTGCGGCCGCGCTATCTACGTAGTTGCGCAAAACTGGGTCGTTCGAGCGAAAGACCCTGGCGTTCATCGGGAATTTCAGCTCGGCCCGCTCGTAAGAACAGAGAATTTATGTGTAACCATGCGAGCTGTAATACGCAGCGATGTCCGACCGGCTTTTTACACGCTCGATTCGCGTTCTCCCGCTTCCCGTGCGCTTTTTCCCCGTTTCGTGTAACGTTTTCTTATTCCCCGCGGAGAAGACGCGACGGTATTTCTCCGGTTTCACACGCGCGAGCAATAAAGGGACGAGGAGGAAGGAGAAGAAGTTTGATCAAGGGAACGCAAACAATCGGACGATGGGGGAAAAGTCTTGAGAATTGCTCGGCCGCGGATCGTCGATTTCAATTAAGTAGTGTTTTCGCACGATCGATCGAGACTAGCTCCTTTATTTTTTCTTCGTCCCGTGACTCGGCCTCGGTCCATTGAGAAAGCCGACTGAATCGCAGCGAGACAGCCTCTCATTGTCGGGGATTCTAAATTTACACGACGTCATAACGTCCGCGTCAGCCGTCGTGACAAGGGTGAACGGTTAATCGCGCGACACGCATCCACGCTCGAGAGGGTAGGCGTTGTTCCACGAGGGGTTTCGCGTCACACGTGGGCGCGCGCTCGCTCTCGCCGGCGAGCGCCTCGCCTACGCTCTTCAAACCGATCCCGCGCGTATGCAGGGCAAAAAATGAAGCGAAACAGGAACGGAAGAGAAGACAGAGCCGAATTACTTTCTCCGTGCGGCGCAGACTTTTTGGACATCCGGTGGATTGGAAAATAACGCCGGTCGAGAGCGATCTCGTTCCAGCGGACGGCAAAGGTGATATCGTCTAAGTATGTCGATAACATCCGGCGAAAGGGAAAAAGGACCCTGCAGGAAAAGTGGAGCAAGAAAATCACCGCACGAAATCAGTCCATGCAAACGAGGACTCCTCGACGCAAAACCCCGTCCGCCGAATCGTCGCTCTTTTACGCTCGGTGCTCGCTTTGTCGTTTCACGCTCTGCCGTTTATTCGCTGATTCGAGCGACAATCGTTTTAACTAGTCGACAGTCCGTCGAAAACTCCGAAACAACCGGGAAAGTCGTGGATGAAAATCACTCGGCGGTTCGATCGTCCCTGAATTATTCATCGAACCTTTCATTAACGCCAGCTGACCGTCCGAAAGTTTTGCGGGTACGGGGAAAAATAATCGTTTTTGCGACGACCCGTGTCGCCGATCCAACTTTAACGGGTCGAACTTTCATTTCCTGGCAGCCGGTGATAAGGCACGCTCGAGGGAAACGCCCCCGCTCAAACAGATATCCCGAATAAAATTTCTTCGGGCGATTTATTATCCCGGATTATCAAGAGACAGAACGGTGCGAACGATTATAACTCGGTTTAAGTCGACTCGAAATCCTCGTTTAACAATAATATCCAATTCCTGATGTCTCGTGAACTTTGAAAATCACTTGAGAACTAAATCGGTGTTTAAAATTCCTTTTCATGCCTAACGTTTTAAACGTCTTAGTAATATAAACTGAAAATGAAGCAACTTCATTTTATTTTCATGCTTCCTTGAAAAGAAGATTCACCGTGAAACTTGTCGATCTTTTTCAGAGCATCTTGCGCGGGAAGACGCTCTCCCAGAAGGATCAAAAGAAGAAGAACGTCGCGTTCACCGAGTGCCTGACGGAGATAATCGGTTACGGCGGCGACGACTTCTTCTCCGACGACGAGGACGAGGACGTACAGGATTTGGCCGAGTCGTTCAACAGCGAGGATGACGCGTTGCCAGACAGCGAGGAGGAACGAGCTCTGGGAAATTTGACGCGTGCCAATACTAGCTTCAACACGATCACCGCCAACCTGACGGAGATCATCGCGGCTGAGAGAAAATCGTCGACGCCGACGCGATCCTTCGCTTCGCTGATGCTGGGAAAGATACAAAAGGACTCGGAGGGAAAGAAAACTACTTTGCTTGTCTCGGTCACACCCTTCGGTGGTGACGAGACTTTGCCGACCGCGAAAAGACCCGCTGATAAGAAGGTCAACGGATTCGTTAACGGACTGACGAACGTCTCCAGATGCAAGGAGAATAATGATAAATCCGAGGTTAATAGATCACAGTAATAATACAAAACGAATTTACTTCCTCCAAACTGAAATGTAAATGTATATAACGAATTACAGAACTAATATATTTCAGTTTCATGGAATGTACATTCGTTCTTGAGTCTCGATGAGAATTAAATCACTGAACAATTTTATATCGAATTCTAGACGACGAAGAGCACGAAGAAAATCGATATCGAGGTGAAGAAGGAGGAGAAGAAAGAGCCGAAGTACCCGTTGGGCATGGAGAAAATCGTGGACATGCCACTGATCGCGTCTAACAATTTAATTTCTATCATCCAGCGGAACGAGCCGGGAGACAGCGACGACGCGAAGGATAAATCTACCGAGACCGACGAGATCGGTAAATCGGACAAGAAGGCTGTCAATATATCTCGGAGTCCGGCGATCAAGAAGACGGAGAACGTGAGGCCGAAGATGCCCGTGCAAACTCCGCAGAACGGAGTCAAGATCGAGTACGAGTTCTCCGGTAAGCTTTTGAAGAAGACTTCGGAGACGTCCAGAATGGAGAACAATTCCGACAAGGGTATCGAGTTGGACTTGACACCGTTGAAGAACAAGTCCGAAGAGGCTGACAGAACCGTTCGAGATAAAATCGGCAACGAAAACGCCCAAGTACGCAAAGTGGAGGGTGAAGCCGGTCCCAAGTTTACTTTCGAGGAAAGTAGAGAGATGGCTGGGGAACCGGATGGCAGAGCGGACGAGGAGGAAGCGACGGAGCCTCCGAAGCTTCCAAAGAGTCCTCCGCCCATCGAGACTAGGCCTCCTCTTCAGGGCGAGTGCAACAAGGTTATCGTCACGGAGCCGAGATCTTCTTTCCTTCACGGAACGGTTCATTTAGAATCGAAGGCGAAACCTGTGGTGCCTCAAAAGCCGATCAACTTCTCAGGCAAAAATAATTTTGTCGCGAGTGATACGAAGCAAAATCACAATCAAAATTCCTTAATCGAGAACGTTGTTAAGACTGTCACAGGTAACGACACTTAATTTTCTTCTTAAAACACGATATGGTTCTACGGATCGATTAATGTTTACTGTGTTTCCTCAGGTATCGCGGAACAGATAAGCCAGCCACGAGCCAAAGACAAGTCAGAGGAAGTTTCTAGTCCGCTTTCGAACGAGAGTAGTTCGAAAGACGCGGAAAATCACATTTCCCGTGGTCAGAACAGCTCCAAGACTGCGTGTCAAGGCGCTGAGCCGAAGTTACCTGGTGCCGAGATCGCAGCTTCGAAAACGTCGCCAGGAATCAAATCAAAGACGCTTTCGACCGTGGCTAGAAGTCAGACCGCGGATACGAGAAGCAGCGAAGCCGACGAGAAACTGGAATTGGAAGAGGAAATGCTGGAAGCTTGTTCATCGACACCAGATTCGATACGCTCGCCGAACAAAAGAAGAATGGCTCCGAAGCCACCGACCGCCGATTCCACGGACGAATTGACCCCGGCCTCGACGCTGTTCGCCAGAAATCCAGGAGCGAACTTCAAATCGGACTCGCCTGTGGTCCGAGAGAAAGAAAAGAGGGAGAGAGCTTCCTCTTGCAGTCCGAAGTTTCGCAAAGCAGTCTCGGACCTGCCTGACCCTACCAGCGCCCAAGGAACGGACCCAGCGTCGAGGAGAACGATATCTTTGTCGCAGGATAGCTTGACGAGTGGTCCTGAGGTGAGGGAGGAGAAGAAAAGGGGCAGGCCGCGTTTCTCTTTGAAACGATTCCTCAGGATGGGCTCGAGAAAAGACGTGGACATGATTGGTGGCCATTCGTCGGGGTCGAGGATCGACGAGATCCCATCGACGCCGCAACCTAAGCCCCGTTTAGAGATTATTCATCCATTGGAGCTGGACGGTGCCGTCGAAGTGGTCGGGAATGATCGGATCAGCAGGATAAGCGAAGACGAAACCGATTCTGCCAGAAACGACACTGGAAGAGGAACTCGATCACCATTGTCGGGCGTATCGCAAGGTAAGTCCCTTCTCCTTTTGACACCTGGTCTCTCGAAATTTCTCGAAAGTGTAACGATTTTTATTTAACGTAAAACGTTCGATGTTACAGTGAGGCCTGGAAAGCCGCCACCACCACCGAGGAACCAGTCCTTGGAAGATTGGTCGCGACTGGATTCGGGAAGCAAACCGGTTAGACCACCGCCACCGATTATCGAGAGTAAGCAACTGGCTCCGAGAAGCGACAAGTCATCGAAATCACCTTCGTCTTCGTCTTCGTCTTCGTCGTCATCGTCTTCATCCTCGTCTTCGTCGGCCTGGCAGCCAGCGGCCTCGACCACCTCAGACTCGATTTACGCGAATCTGGGTAAGTTCAGGCCCATACAATGTAACTAATGATTATCCACGGCAGAGTTCTCGATGTTGTAACAGCCATACTCACACGAATATACCCTCGCGCCAGCTGCTTCCCCCCACGGATTTTTCACGCGTCGTTTATCGCGAGTTCCGTACGTGACGTACGATCGGGAACGATCCTGTGACACGCTGGATAACGGTGGTTTTAACACAGAACTCTTTTTCTCTTTCGGGTTTTTTTTTTGCTACTTCTCGTTTCGCCGGGTCGTCGTACGCTCGTCGTGAAACCGCGGTACACGTATTCCTTGTCTCTCGGTTCCGAGCGAGGCAAACCGAGGCTCGGCGCGTTTTGCCCGCGCGATGCGAACATTTAGATGATTGATGAAGACGGACGGACCGTCGCGCGCGCGAGAGAAGCTCTACTGCCGGATCTGCGCGATTTAAGTCGTAGCCACAATCTTCTTCGATGCGTTAGCTTAAACTTAATAACCATGCCATACGCGGTTTTTGCAATTTCTTTTATACTTTGCGACTAATCTCGAAATACTATACATGTATACTCTATTACTCTAACTGTTATATTTGAAATGTTATACGATTAATTCATAGATACCCTGTGATATGTTATCTTATTTACCGTGTTACACTTTGTACATTTTTGTTGGTGTCGGTAGACGCGACATTCTTCTAATTCTAATCACTTTTATCCAAGACGTATTCATACGACTCGAGAGAGTTTTGCCTTATCTTTTTGATTCTTTACATGGAAGTTTCTCGAGTAAAAATTGCGATGAGAAAAGTCTGAGAATGGCTGAAAGGGAAAACGAATCGACGAAATTGTACGAATCAATGATACACACTACACCGTTTGTAAATATATAAAACGATAGAATGGAGTTGCGTAAAAGATTCTGTAACATCGAATTTTTCTGTGTCTGAAATAAATGTTTGTTGTCTGAAAAAACACCCAGAGAGCCTTGTTTTCTTGATCACGTGACAGTCGCGTCACGATCCGTACTCTTATAGACGTTTGTATTTCTTTTTTTACTTTTTTTTGTTCGTTGCACCCGTCGCGTTGCGTTCGATCCTCTCGAGTTTCTATGACAGTATCTCTCTATCCGTCGCGTGTGTGCCGCTCCTTTTTTTCATGACGAACGAACGTAGGTCTCGACGAAACGAAAAAGGGAACCCTCGATCGATGCTATCCATCACGCGATTATCGCGGCTCGATCTAGGGACTGCTTCAATAGTTAACCGCATGCATCGGTGAAATCGTGTACCAGCAAAGACTACTTACTCCTGACGAGATAGGTGCTCGAATACGACGATAAAAATCTAACGCTAGCTTTCATTGTTACGCAACATTTTTCAACAGGTTTCCTGACTTTTAATTGAAAATCCTAGGGGTAGTACTCGAGAATGTCATACTTCTTTATTTCTTTTACTTATACAGGGTGTTTGCGAAATCGTGGTACAACAAGGGGATGATTCCTCACATCAAATCTAATCGAGAACAAGGAATATATAATTATTAATTAAAGTCGCGTAGCTAATGAATTTTCAAACACGATTTTTTCGAAAATGATACCACGTATGAGAAAACTATATTTCTTGTTTTCGACTAGATTTTATGTGAGGAATCATCTCCTTGTTTTATGACGATTTCGCAAACACCCTGTATATCCATAGACCTTCCTCTGTGCCTTGTCCTATATTTCCCGTTTTAATGATTCACATTAGCTAAGAATAAAGACAGGAACGACGAAGCCACCTTTTCATTGACGGAAGACGTTGCTTCGAGGGTAGAGAGGTGCTCTATAGGTGTAAATATAGGGAAGACGGTTACGTCGCGCGTAGGACTGTATCCTTAACCGCCCCTGGGTGCAACTAACGCCGCATGTATTGATTGCATATTAGCATCGTGTTCCCCTCATCGGCTCGGGAGCCCCTGATAACGAATGCCTGCCAATTCCAGGATTCCCGATGATTGCGCAGGAACTCCGAGCGCCACTTAATTCACCTCGTTTCGCCCTGGAATTCCTCCACAGCGACTCTATCGGACCCTTTAGCTATCCCGATGTCCCCCGTCCCAAAGGATCAGAATTCTGGACGTTTCCAACGTTACGAATAAACGCATTCCATAAATTTTACAAATGGAACACGGCTTAAAATTGACATAGTCGAAGGGTTCGAGAGATTGCATAATATACCGTTGCCTATTTTACGATCGTTCCATTCGTGTCAGTCGATAATCGAATCGAACGACGGGCTTCGAGTAGATCACTGATACGCGCAAAAATTTTCATTGAAGAACGCGAACGTGTTTCTACCCCCGTTCAGCTCCGCGTGAATAGCACCTACAGGCACGTAGGTACGCGCCAGTGCGGCTCTAGCGTTTTTTTCTCTTTCTCTCTCTCTCCGAACAAGAACCGGAACGAACGAATTCCGCCCTCCTAGCACGCTAGTTACGGTAGCTAGCCTGTTTTGTGACATTGCCTTGTGTCTTGTGGTACTAACCCGTGGCGCTTGACGATGGCGGATGTGCCTGCAGCAGCGGAGGATGTTACAGGTGAGGTCCGCAGCTCATTGGCACCGTCGAAGCCGCAAAGGACGGCCAGCATGAGGGACCAAGCCACCTCCCAACCGATCTCGAAGAAACACGGCTCCTCCAGCCCGGCCCTTAATCAGGATTACGAGGCGGTCGGGGTTACCGCGCCACCCACGTCCGATTCTTTGGTAATACCGCTATTAATGGCCTTTTAACGATTTTTATAGCACCGCTACGAAAACAAACTGTACACGAGGGACTCTCGAAAATTTAGAACCTTCGCAAACCGTATTAAATTACAATTAGAGTGCATTGTTTCTTTGGGCACTCCTTTACGCCGGTTCCCTCGAGGAGCCACTGATTTCAGCTGATATCTCGCGACATTTTCCAGACGTCTAACGACAGTCATGTTTACGAGTGCCTATCCAGCTCGCCGGAGTGCGACTCGAATCTCGAGCTGCGGCACGTTGGCGGATCTCATTTCACCGGGAAGAGGAAATCCGACAGCAACGCGATGATGGAACCAGCCGCGGAATTCAAATTTCATCATCAAACCTTCGTCCGATCGACCTCGTTACCGTACTGCGGTAGCGAGACCGAGAGCGAGTTATACGCCCCGTACGGATTTTACACCGGCGACGAGGTACGATACGTTCCGATATTTTTTACGAGCCGGTCATCGCATCGCGTCGGTTCGTGAAACGCTTTTTCAATATAAAAAACCGAGTTTGATTAAAAATTGTAATCGTAAGACGCAAGAATTCTCACTTCTTGATAGAAAAATTAACATTTTTAAAGGTGGACGCGTCCAAGTCACTTAACAACTTTTGTTGATTTTATTACCAGAAACTTTGCTGCTTATTTTTTGTATTATGGAATGGAGAACGGAAGTTCCATCGGCCGTGCGGAATTTATAATGGAATTTGTCTTAAACGCAGGGTCCCGAGGAGGATCAGGACTGGAAGAATAAGGACGACGAGTTAAGGATAAGCCGATTGAGACAACGCAGAGGTCGCAGTATAGTTCATCGCAGCCTCGAGGATAATTACGGTGCCGTGGTAGTCGCGAACCACGAGGCGCTCGCGCAATTTCTCGATCAGGTAACTTGTCGCGCGGTACCTTATCCGGGGAACGTGATCTCATCGTTCTCGAATCGGACGTTCAGTTCAATTCAAATAAGACGGATACATCACTGAATTATTGATCTCTTCGCTAAGCGAGAAAAAAAAGATTTGTCAGAGACAAATTGCGTGCAGTACGAAATATTTATATGAAATCAATAAACGGCGAGTTCGGCATCGACATTTTTGCGCCTTGTATACGTACGTATACAAAGTGTACGCTCTTGGGAAATACATTTTCGCCGTACGTTCCAGCTGAACCAAACACCTCAAGTGTCGACGATGACGGCGCGAGCGTTGAAAAATACGAATCCCCGTATAAGCCACTTCACGGTCGACGCCAATACGTCGATCACCGTCGGCAGGAGAATATTTTGCTCGGCGACGTGGAACGAGCTGAACGTCACGCTGTGCGTCGCCTTCGATCTGGCCACGCACGTATCGCGGAAGGAATTTTATTTGGCACCCATAATCGAGTTTATAGACACGCCACCGAAAGAAATTACCGACAAGACGTGTCTGCCTGGTAACAAACAGCTCGAAGGTATTTCCTCTTGCTTTGTACAGTGTCAGCCGAAAGTGAATTTCTGCTAGAAACGAGACCCGGAATTCGCTTCTCGTTCACTGTGTGCCTTCCGCGGATTAAAATTGAATTTTTAATCGATTTTATATTTACAGCGACCATTTCCGTTCTACCTCGATTGCAAGTCAGCACTATACAATCGTTCGGCGCTACGTTGAAGGATCTGCACGACGAGGGAACGATCAGAGAGGCTTTGTTCGTGCTTCTTCAGTTCGTTACAGCGTTGAAGAGCCTTCAGGCGCGGGGAATTGAGGAATCCGCGAGGAGCCTGAACAACGTGGTCCTGTGCAGGGAAGACAAGGACGCCTATTACAGGCTCTATCTCCTTCAAGGGTGGGTAAAGCTTTAGACGGCAGAGAGCCTAGCCCTCGCCGAGATTGGTTTGTTCATTGCCCGATAACGTTTGACAGATTGAACGTGGAGACGAACGAGGAACGGGACGAGGAGAGAGTCTCGTTGTGTCAGTGCGCCCTCCTCGCGCTTCGACAATTGAACTTGGCTAGCAGGCTGCCCGTGATTCAGGAGCTGCTCACGAAAGAGAAAGCGGTCACTCTGTCTCAGGTGAGAGAAGCCCCCCGGAATAATATCAATTACGCTGTCGTCCAGTAATCCAGACAATCAGTTTATATAAAAACGATAATAATGATAGGTAAAATCCGTCCTGGAATTCTCGCTGTGGGGTCCCGCGGACGTAAATTTTGGCGGCCCGCGGGAGAGAGAGGTCACTCTTCAGAGGTGGCTCGACCTCGAAAGGGCCAACGTTCTGCACGCGTTAGTGAGGACGAGAGCCCCTCTCACCGTCACCGATGAGTACCAGTTGCTGTTCCTGGTTCGAACCAGCGCGAAAATCATCGGCGAAGCGTCGTTGTTGTTGGACGAGCAACGATCCAGGTTAGCTGCCGCTCGCTAATCAACCCTTTTTCGTGAGTAACGATCGGAACCGGGTCCACTGTGAACGAGGCGTATCGATTCGATCGATCGGCTCGACTAATACCAAACGGATTCGAGTGGATGACAAAAGGGAGCAGCGAACGATAGCGGGCAGTTGTACAGATCGATGGAAATTTATTGGACGTTAACTACGACGAGTGCGCGTGCCGACGCTCCGAAGAGCGGATTACGTGGGACAGTGTTTTCGGATGTTACCATCGCTTTAAGAATTAATTTCGATCATTGTTTATACCCCATCACCGTTTTGTAATCTTATTAAATATTTGTATAAATAAACGGCCGGTAGTATCATTTGACGCATTATTCCCCCAGCGAATAATTTCGCGGAGATCCGATTAGATCGAAATTACCCGATGCGCAATTAATGTCGTAAATATCGAATGCGATTTTTGTTTAATTTAATAACCTCCCCGGGGATGCGCGTTTATCAATTATTCGCGTCACGCGCGTCGATATTTCGAAATATATAGATATATCCCTTAAATTGTCGGGAGAGTAATTCGTCCCAGCAAATGGTACAAAGATTGCCCAAGAACCGGAATAAAAAGGGCTAATCGCTATTCCATTGGTAAGTTTCGTTCGTGGAACGGTTGCGCACGACGCACACTGTCGAACCCAGCCGCCGTCGGTTTATCAACGTCGACCGGTCGGAATCCGCGCCAAGTATCCGATACAACAAATTCCGTGTAATAGCCGCAGAGGAGATAGAACGCGTATTATCGCTAATGCAATAACGACGTTCGCTGTTCGATAAATCAATAACCGGAACAACGACGACGACGCCAACTTTTTTTTTTCCAGTGAGTTCGTAGAAACGTGTGACACGTGTCCCCGACGCTGTTCGATCAACGAATTAAATATTTGGCGTTGTTCCCAGAGAGCGTCGGAAATTGTCATTCTTTCATCCAGAGTAAACTAAACGGAGTGAAACACACTTTTCCCAACGTTCCTTTTGAAATAACGTTTGTATACAGAGCGCATTACTGCAATTACTTCTGCATTATGAAACTGATCACATAATCGGATGTATTCAATTTTTTCGCTTACCAATCGGGAATTTCATATCGACGAAAGGGTGTTTAAAAATTGATGATATCAGCCGAAACGATTAAAGGGAGGAATTGAAATTCTTATTGGAATCTATTTGCTTCGATGATATTGAGGCGACGGTTAATGCTCGCTAAGGGACGATCAACCTGGCGACAATGTAGCAGGAACAAAAATCGCGGACAAGGAAACGAAGTCTATTAAGCTCTAATCCGGATTTTCATCGGATTTTTTTTTCAAAAGGAAGAAGATATCTTGGGAGGAACGTTACACAACTTATCACTTGCAGGTAGAAGAGGGGCAAAAAACGTTCATCGGTTTTCCTCTCCACCGTGGCGTCGCCGAGCACAACGGAGCTCTCAGACGCAACGAAACGTCGGTTGTTAACGGATATCATTGAAAGATACCGAAGACAATGCCGCGCACTTCGAGGCGTGCTTTTAGTTGCCAGGGGATGAAGCGGGTAGCTCGGTATCGAAAATGTATCCGAGCAAAGTTGCTACACCGGTCGGCCATTAAAGCGATGTAACGTTCGACTTTATTCGCGTCGCGTGTTGATTCTGATTTATCGACGGGACGTGAAGGCGAGATTGAATAACGCCGCGAGTCCTTTAAGGACGAGCGAATTGGCTTTCGCTGAAACTTCGCCTCGACCGTAGCGTCGCGTCGTTTGTCTTGTAAAGTGTTTGAATAAACACCGGAGCGTCGGGCGAGATTTGCAAAAGCGACTGCTGCGACGATTGAAAAATATTTCTTTAGATAAAACGTTAACCGGGGCGCTTTTGTCCCCCTCGCTGGATTTAATCGCGTTTTAATTTCGCTGAGGGAGCGTCTCTGATTTAGTATGAGGTCCTCTGTTGACTTTTCGCGCGGTGACGTCAGCAGGAAAAATCGTGGCCATCGTTTGGCCAAGGAGGACAGAGCCACCGTCGCTGGGCAAAATGTAACACGCGAATGGCTCGAGTATCCGACTAATTAGGCGACCCACTTTAAGGCGAAAAGGTGTGGGCGGTGCTCGAGCCGAGAGGGCAGTTGAAACAAAGTTTCAGAACGTCGGCGGCGACGAACCGGCCTTAACGGAGGCCAGAAAAAGAATAACAAGAGCCGGGCATTACGTAAGTAGAAAAGCGATGTTAGCCCGTTGAAAATGCATAATTACCCCCGATCGCGAACCATTAGATTCCAGCGCCCGTTCCTTTTTACCACCGTTTTACGAGTGCATAGACCGCGTTCCATAAATATGAAAAAAACCGATAAAATATTTACAACGTTTGCGAGTACACACGCCGTGCAATATGTGACGCAGGGTATTGTTTGCAATTTTATCGCGAATTTAATTATACGCAAATCCGGTTCCATATGAATTTTTTAATCCCCGCTTTTATGAGGCGCAGCGTACACACAACACTGTGCCTGGAGCTTCCGGTAATTGTTCAGGCAACACTATTTACTTTCTCATTTCTATTGACGTTCCCCATCCATCTATCATCGTTTCCACGTGACGTTCTGATTTCTGAATATCTGACGCGTTCCATTCCGCGTGGAATTACCAGGATTTGCTTCCACCGGGCGTACGTAGTATATCGCGTCGCGTCCCATTGCCGAACTCTAATTCGCAGCAGGAATTAACGCGCGGCGATAACACGACGCAACGCAGTAACGAATGCATGCACCTATTGGTAGGTGTCGTTAAAGGACACCCAGACGTGGAGTTATGTACTTTCATTAAATTTCGATACGATTCGGATGCGTTTACAGCAACAGCACGGGCGGGCGCAGTCGGGCGTGAAATTTTGTGCCGACACTAAATCAACTGCGTCTCCGATTCGTGGCTAACCGAGCGTTTAATAATTCCACAACGGAGTGCACACGGAAATTTTATGAAGAAATGAGCGTCACATGTTTTTAAATAATAATTTTTCATCCGCCCTACCGCGGGTTCACGAAATACAAAAAGGGACGCGCCTACGTAAGCGCGATATCTCGATTCTTGATCGATTCACGTGTTTACTAATTTTCACGACGAGTAACAAACACGCGCGAGCAGTTACTTTGCGGAAAGCGGCGCTTAATTAGCTCCAGGGAGGGAATCTAAATTATCCCAGTGCAGCGCGGGTTGGATTCGAGAACGCGTGAGGTCAATTTTGCTGCTCGGTCTCCCAGTGCCCGGATGGTTAATTTCGCTTGGCGGATGCCCAAAAATGCGGCACGGACGTGAAAGGACCATTTGTACTTCAGAATTACGCACTCCGCTCCTAGAATTCTAACCGAAAAGTGTTCTGATACAAAGGTTTTATCTACCATTGTCGTTTCTTTACATTCCTTTAGTCGTTCCAAAATCATTCGGTAAGTATGGTGTGGATCGACTGGAGATCAATTTCATTAAATTCTTGGGACCTTATCATTTGTTACAGTTCTAATTCAAAGATCAAGTCAATTCCCGTTGTTAATGATCGAGGAGTGGTTTCTTACGAACCGAGCCAAAATTTTTAGACATATAAACCGAGTTTAAGGACGTTAGTCCCGCTCAGTTGGTCTCAATCATTTCAGGTGTTGCCACGTAGTGGTACACATATTAAATAGAAACAAATGGTTGAGAATCTTTGGCCCTCTAATACATCGCACAGCGTATACATACGCACTTACACAAGCTTACACAGAAGAGCCGTTGCCGCTATTGGCTACACTATCCCCTCCCTCGCCGTCCTCAAGAACGCGTTGTACAAAAATACCATACTTCATCTCAGAATTTCTACTAAACGAATCATCAAAATTTTCTGATTTTTTTTTTAATACAATTGTAATAAGTTAATTTAGCATGTGTCAGTTTTTTGAAAATATCTATAGAACCGTTTTTCCTTAAATTACTGAAATCCATCATTTTACTGGCCTTTTCTCGTTTTCACATGGTAAAGTTCCGAATTCGATAATTTATTGCTACTCTCCCAATCATCAGATCTCTCTAAGATTTTACACATATATTTGTGATGCTCTATTGAATACTCATGCAAAATTTCAAAACATTCTATAGAAAATGGATTTTGGGACTAACGTCCTTAATGGTAACCACGAGGATACTGTTTGTTTTACGCAAATCTCAAAAGAAAATAAACTATAAGTGAGAGCAAATATTGAAATTAGAATTATTAAATTATCAGATTAATTCGCGATCGTATCAGCGGTGGAGCGATATTGAACCGTGAAGCAGGGTTGGCAGAGATTTTTCAGGACAGCTGGTATCGCTGTTGAATCACTCGGGCGAAACTCGATATCATTGACAAATAAGAGGCAGTAACGTGCATGTGCGTTCGGCACATAGCCTGGAAATTCGCGGCCGCGTTCTTGATACGAGCCGCGCGGTGCGGCGTGGTCCTGGCGTTGTGTGCAGCGCGGGCACAATATAGCACGGCGCGGGTGGAACCGTGTTATTTATATAAGCTTCGCCGTTTGAAAGCTGTCGAAAGCTTTCCCTGGCACGTCTATCTCGCGTTATTGGACTGACACGAGCGGGTATATCGCGCTATTAGGGCGTTTCCGTTTGTTGCCAATCGAAAATATCCGCGGCTCTGGTCGTTTTACCAAAATTTTCCACCGTAAATCGAATTTCCATAAATCGAAATTCGGCAACGCGTCGAAATGAAGTCAAGGGCTGAAGGACGTAGTGGACAGCGGGGTCGCAAGGTTTCCGAGTTATGGACGGAATTGATTCAACCCTGCGAATGCGTTATCATTCGCTCATTAAATTAAGCTGTCTTCTCAGAATGCCAATTAACGCAAGAACGGCAGCCGCCTCGGGTCTCCTTCTCATTTGTGGCTATGAAACAGCAGGGAAATTGGTGCGAGATAACAAAAAACGCGTTCTATTTGTAGTTGAAACACGCGCCCTGAGACCAATAAGCAATCGGAGTAACTAATTTTGTTCCTGCAATCAGACGGCCAAGACAATGCAATCGCGGCTTTTTAGAACAACCGCTTAACCGGGAATTGCATTGTCCCGCGGAGCTTAATATTAAATCTCGTTCAGCCAATTTCGCTTATACATTTACGTTAAAATAATAATTCCAAGTTCTAAGTTCGAGGCGAGCGTAACAAACACGATTACGATAGCAGATTATTCGTTCCCTCGGATTTGTTTCGGGCGTTCTGAAACGGAGTAAATAACGTTTCCCTTAACAAACCCGGCGTGGCAAATAGCGTTACATTAACGCGAAACGCAAAGTCAGATGTTA